GAGCCTGCTTGGTGCAACTTAAAGAGGGACTAGAGTGACTGTAGAGATCCACTCTGGCTCCTGTCAGGTTGATGGGACAATTTGAATAATAAATACTCAAACTCCCACTATGTGTTCAGACCTCCTCCTTATGTTTTGGTCCCACGAGCCTGGCCATAATATATGGGGGCTTGTCCGGGATACTCTTTAAGACTCATTGCTGCAGACTGGACCTGGTGTTTCTGTAAGGCTGAGGCTGGCTACCCTATAGAGGAAGTTCATTTTGGCTGCTTGAATCTGGAAACTCAATAAGTTAGCCACAATCCTGTGTCCATAGGTGAGACACAGGTAGGTAGACATCTTATTTCAGGGGATTTGTTGTCCTGCAAAGCTGTTGTGCCAGAATAACCAAAACAACATCTTCATTAATGCGCACAGAGCCCAGATCTGTGAGTTCGATCTGTCATGACCAAAATACTTGAAATCCTTCTTTTGGGATTGAGGTTGAATCCAGAGATTCCAAATCCAGACGCCTTCGCTCCTGTGCCTTTAGATCCCATCCATAAACGCATCCCACGTGGATGGCCAGCTGTTTTTGAGTTCGGCCTGCAGGGAACCGACTCAGTGTCAGGACGCGCTGGTGAGTGGAGCAGAGGTAAGGATCCAAACGCAGGGGAGGAAGCAGGCAGGCAGACAAACTAGAAAACTCAAAAGGTGTTTAATGATAACTGGACACAGGACATGCAATGAGGCAACAAGAGACACAAAACTGGAGGGGTTTAAATACAGGAGGGCTGGGAGCTTGGTTGATTGGGAAACGAGAGGGAGGTGGGAGCAATCAACAGAGACACAGGCTGAACCAAATGGGGAGACAGGACAGGGTGTGACACTCAGCTTAGTGCTGCCTCAGCTACACTGCAAAGATGAAGATCTGGCCCACTATTTTCATCACAAACAAATAAAAACATTTGTAATTTAGCTGCCATTGTTAAATATCTTGAGAAATTATTAAAAATCAAACCATTGAAATCAGCAGGTGTTATTTACCAGTAGCCTTCTGATGTTTTTTAAACTTCTCTTTGGACAAAGCAGCTTTAAAAACAGCAGCAGAGCTCTGGATCTCCTCGGATCTGCTCTGAACATTCAGAGGTGACCTGCAAGCGTTTCTACATCTTAAAACTTAACGTAGCAGAAATGTGGAGCAGGAGGAACGCTCTGAGTCAATGTTTTTGTCTGAAAATGTGAGAATGTAGTAAGAAAGTTCAGTTTTCCAGCTGTGTTCGGCACCATTATTAAATTAGAAGAAAGCCTCAGAAAGCCCACCCTTCTGCAGAGCATCACTGGAGGCATTTGCATTTTATCCATTGTGCATTCCAGTGATGGTTGTGGTCTGAAACCAGTCAGGCTGCAAAATGTGCAACAGCCACTGACACAGTTAAAGCTTGTTTGAAACAGTTACCTTCCAAAAGCGGCAAATACCAGTTGCCTGTGCGTAATTTCTCCCACTTCTGTGCTCCCTTTGCCTGTAAACAACACAATGTTTCTAGAGGTCATCACAAAGAGTGGTCTTTGCAAGCACACACTGTGATTCAAGTGTGTGTTCATAAGAAATTCGTTTTAGGAAGGTTTAGGCCTAATTTGGTCCTATTTCTCCTCAGAGCCCAGCATTTCCTCCAGCAATGTCGCCAACATGCAGTGCAGCCTTCGCAGGGACAAAGATGGCTACCTTCTAAATGGCGGTGAGTCATCCCAAGAGTTTTCCAGCCTTTAAATGTCTTCAAAGACTTTTAAAATTCCCAACAAGTAGTGTATTTATCCAAGATTAACGTGTAAACAGAGGATGTTTTTCAACAATTAAACCTGAAAATTTTATCGTCAGCTCAGTTTCTCTAAAAGGGTCGTAAAAGCCCTAAAAAGCTGCATGCTAGCTCAAACTGCTAGCACATGGGCAATAAAACGCTCACATGACTCATAAACATTATATAACATAAACAGGTTTTAATGATCCCAGAAAGTCTTGAATCGGTTTGAATTTGAGAAATGAGGCGTGAGTTTAGCAGGAGATTGGAACAGGATAAGGTCATGGATTCCAACCACAATAGATAATCCGTAAACCGGCGCTTAACTCTGACGTGAGTCTTTGTAAGTGACGCGAGTTGGAGATGAACCAGAAACCAAATCACTAACAGGACAATGGATGTTAATTTTGCGGTAAATTAAAAAGCTGAGCGAAACAAAAGTGTTCTGCAAATAGGAAACAGAAATAGCTAAAGTCTGTATCTTTTCTCAGTTTTCACGTGTTTTTAGTTGCTTTGCAGTTGATGGTTTCAGCCTGTGACACATCTGTGGTCAGGCCCATCTTTTTGACTTTTCTCTTGTCGGAAGTGAAATTTCCTCCAGTGGAAAGAATCCTTCGGAGAGCTGAGAGCGACTCCTGCCAGCGTGAATATTTCTGTGTGTTTGGAAAGAAGGTGGGCGTACTGACGGTCATTTTCATGCCCTGTGTGGCCTGTGGGTTTTCTGCACAAAACCATGTTATTCAAACTGTTTACTTTTGCACTCCGTGAGTCATAATATCAAGTTCTGTTTCCTTTTACCAATAGAGAAGTGAAACTGGGCAGGATGGTGGAAATGTAATGCCTCCTTGGCGATGTAGCCTTGGTGAACATTCCAGTAATCAGATATTCTCTGCCAGATCTGCACAGACCACATGGGCGTTTCTCAATATCCGTCTAAAATCCTTTACATGGAAAATATGTGGATTTTTTAGCTTCTGTACCGAGCAGAGGTTTTCAAACAGTTCTAGCCCTGACACGTGTCCCATGGGAATGATAATGCACTAAAATTACTCCCAGAACTGCTCTGTCAGGTTTTTCTGCTTGAGGCATTTGCAAAAACCTTCAAACCAGTAAACCATTATTCCAAGTTTCCACTGGAATAATTTGATATCTTTTTTTTAGCATGAACATCCTGCCCACAATGACTTCAGTAAGTTTCAGAGGAAAAACTAATGGAAATGCACAACACTGAGTCAGATTTTAGCGCTAAATAATATAAATGTTGTTTTTATCATCACCTTTCCTGTTATTTGCTCTAATCTATCATTAATGTTATTGTTGTCACTTTCAGATGACCAAACTACCCTGAGTTATACTTCTCTGGCTAATAATACACAACTTCATTCTAATATTTATTGGATCTCTTGATATTTATTTACTTGGTAAATAAATAAAGTCAGCTGGCGCATGGGAAACTCATTTTTCCTGGACAGACTGTGGAGAATTTGTCCCATGTGAACTTGTCTAGCTTCTTCTTTCAACTGAACAGAATTTTTGTCATGAGAAATGCTGCTTAAGTTAAGGTTTAGCTGGAGCCGGCAGCCAAAAGCAGTTCCTGCGCTAATGAGTCTGAAATGTTTTGGTTTAAACTAAAAGGAGACATATGATAATTATTTTTATAATAGCTCTAATGTTGATAGAAAACATGTTTGTGAAGTTCTTTGCACTGATTCCCTCTTACAGAAAGTGATCTCAGCAGTTTTATTCTTTATATTTTCAGTACCTTCCAGAATGAGTCATTTCAAGGCTCTGTCACTTTAAAGGTACACTTGGCATTTTCACTGCTTTTAGCGCCCCCTAGTGTCCATTAATAACTATGTGGTCAAACCAAAAATGAAACGTATCTCCTCGCTGTGTGTTTGTCTTTTTAACACCTTAATCTAGCTGCTGTAATGTCTCCCCAGCTTTTATTTGTTCTACAGGAGTAATTGATCACTAAATGAAGCAAATCAGCTGTATTCATGATCCAAAACATACAGGTGGCAGTCGCAAGTTTGAAGTTTCAAGTGCGATATTCTGACCATAGGGGGCGGTGGGGTCTGAGTGACATTTCATTAACCTTGTAAATTGTAGTTTTAGCACAAACTGGCTCAAGAAAATAATTTAAAGGTATGAAAAAGTGACATAGTATGACTTTAAGAAAACAAACTGGAGCTGGCCACGCCCACTCACCCCCCGCTCAAGCTGCTATAGGATGAGAGGCTCCGATATCCAGGAGGGGCTCGGAGTAGAGCCGCTGCTCCTCCAGCATCAACAATTGAGGGAGGTATGCTAACTTTCCCAGTTGTGACATCACAAACGGGGACTTTTTCCAAACAACTTACTTAACACATAATTCCTAAAACCAAACACTGAGAAAATGAATAAAGTTTTTTCTTTTGTTACCAATTGAAATGTTTATAGAAGAAGTAGAGACCCAGACAACAGCACAGAAGCATACAAAAAGTGAGTTTTGCACAATATGTCCTCTTAAAACACACCTGGCTAACACTAGTAAGTAAATCCAGCTCCACTAATGGCTACATGTAATATAAAACTGGTAGCCAGGTTATTTTGTGTAAAAAAGATTAGCAGGAAGTATCTGTGGTGGATCTAGTTGGGAGGTTTTCTTTTGCCAAAACAAGCTGAAGCCTCGTTATTATGCTGTGAAAAAGACTTGAACAAACTCTTAACCATTGGACTGCAGCCATTCAGCACCCAGAGCCAAGATCTGACATGAGGAGGGCGTATCACTTCACTACAATGTTGCACGATGGCACTGGATATTGTGAAAATGCGATCAGGAGGGAGCTCTACTGCAAATCATCCTTGTTTATAAGCCTAAATTATTGAAATAAACAAAGATGAGAGGGTGAAAAACAACAGTTATGCTTAAAGCTCCTCCGAGGAGCATACAGCTTTAGTGTTTACAACTCTTGATAGCATGGAAGGGACCTTCCCGCTGTGCGCAGTCCTATCTTTGCTTGCCAAATGTTTTCGACTCAATAGGTCACCCACTGTGCGATCAAACCACCCGTCATCCCAACCCAAAGCCACGGGATGTAATAAAACGAGATGCAGATGATCTCTTGGAAGGCGGTGCAGCAGCTGTAAAGTTGAATTGGATTTGTTGTGAAAACCCAAAAGCGGGAAAGTGAGCAGCTTGAGTCTCAGCTGCGTTTAATTGTAACAGACGCATGCAACTGAAGACTTTGCTCTTTTATTTAGGAAAATACATAATTTATACAAAATACGTAGTTGTATGAAGGCCCCTTACATTTATGGTCTGGTATGTGTAGCTGTTAGTATCTTATGTGTGTAAATAAATATCAAGTATACGTAGGTTGTAGATAAGTGCTTACAGGAGATACATGCTGGGGTCTTAGATGGTGAAGGTCGTGGTGTCCTGGTCTTCTGAACCAGACTGAGACTGATTCTCACCGGGAGTGCGGAGTGCCATCTCCACTGCGGGCTCCTCGTTCAGTTGTCTCGAGTGTTGGCCCAGTCGCTGTCCAAGGTGCTTGGCAGTCTTCAGGACGTGACCTCTGAAGGAAGACCCGATGAAGGCGTAGAGCAGAGGGTTGATGCAGGCGTGGGTAAGTGCCAGGCTTTCCGTCACTTGGAGTGCCCGATCCAGACCCTTGCTGACCTCGCAGTCGGTGACGAGGAGATAGATGATGTCCATCGCTCGGCAAAGCTTCACCACATTGTAGGGAAGTTGGGTGAGCAGGAACACAGCCACCACGACCAGCAGGACCCGCAGCGCACGCCACTTCCGCTCTCTCTGCACCCCGGCAGCCTTACTCAGCGCTTGCCCTACCAGGCAGTAGCACACTGTCATGATTAAGAGCGGCAAAAGGAAGCGAAGGATCACCTCCATCAGCTCCAGAGAAGCCTTCGCGGGCCGGGCCATGCTGTGTGGGTAGATGGGCGTGCAGCCAGTCCTGTGGTGGGAGATTTTCACTGTTGAGAAGATGAGTTCGGGAAGTCCAAGAAAGCTGGCTAAACACCACAGTGCGACACACACCAGGAGCCACTGTCTCCTCACTTGTTGGCCTATCGCCGTCCGACCAGTGGAACTTTGGAGCACAGCCCGGTACCGATCCACGCTTATACACGTCAGCAGCAGCATGCCACAGCTGAAGTTTGTGCTGTAGAGGAAGGAGGTGAGCTTGCAGGCCGCCACACCCAACATCCAGCCGTGGACGGCATCGGCAGCCCAGAAGGGCAAGGTGAAGAGCAGCAGCAGGTCTGAAATGGCCAAGTTAAGGATGCACATATCCGTCAGGGTCCGAAGCCTCAGCCGTGACATGTAGACCACCACGACCAGGGAGTTCCCAGCAAGACCCACCACTAGAGCCAGGGCGTAGATGATCGGGAGGAAGACTCCGCCGAAAGAACGCACCTCCTGTTTGTCACAGATGCCGTGTTCATAGCTGTAATCATACGTTTCGTTTTCGCTGTAACTGGACTCGTCTTCTTCATGGTAATAGAAGTCCTCCATACTTCCTGCATGGAAAAGCAATCAAGAGTAGACTTTACAGAATCATCTGTTTTATTTTAAAACAGAACCAGACCACCTCAGCATGTCCTTTTCATGTGAATGTGCAGAGGCAAGGTTTACGGAATAACAGGAAACAGGAATTCTGTTTTTGTTAGAGGTCAAAGGATTCTCCCCTGCATGGATTCCCTAAAGGCTGAAGTCCTGTTTGTTGGAAAACTTTGAATAAAAGGAAACATCTCTAAACAGGGTGCATTTAAAAAAAGACCGGAGAGAATCTAAAAGCATTTTGAATTCTGGATCAGTGATTCACAAACTTTAGGAAATGACAGTTCCTCATTTACTGAGGCTTACATCACAGGGAAGTGATAACATCAGTTTTCATAATAAATCTGTCATCTGTAGCCATGTGCTCAGCAATTAATCCCACTCTGCAGTCTGTTAACACCGATAGGACAGCACCTTTATTATCCGCCCCCGGCCACAAACACAACTGAATTCTGTCGTTCCTCGAATTAAGAAACTGGAGGATGGCAGGAAGTATGTGCAGACAGGGATGGAGAGGATGCACGGAATGCTCGGTGTCTTGCCAGAATAAAATCCAGGATGTTGGTTTAACTGGCCAATGCTATGTGCTGCTTCAACAGGACGTCCCATTGATGTGGGAGTGATGTCAATGTCCGCTCTCCGGAGACGGAATCTTCAGGCATTCCCACTGTTTCACACAGGCAGTGCCTTATTAGAGAAGCTTTAGTTTTTTCATCTAAAATAACCTGAAACAGCTAAACGGGATTGAAAATGTAACTCCTGGGTAAGGATGGAGCAATTTAACTCCAGATCAGTTTGGTTGAGATTTGTTGCCAAGGCGATAAGGAAAAGCATCCAGGTTTGTTACATAATGAGCCGTGATGTCTCCGCCTGGGAGGAGTGGTGGTTTCCACAACAGATGTTCGTTGGAACGTTCAGAAATATTCCAAGCATTCAGCTGCAGGTTAAAACATGCAGTTATTTTTTTAGGGGTCACTTTAGTCTCCAGATGCCAAATACAGAGTATATGTGATTAATTTAAATATAAACATCCTTGGATCCAGATATTTCAGATTAGGGAATAAAATCTACGTTAGTGTGAAGGAGGATTGTGCAGTTTTTAGATTAAATCTGTCAAATTTTCCTATTTTTAAAATGCTTACCCAAGAGCTGAATGCAGATGAAGCTCCTTTGCAGAGGCGATTTTGTGAAGCAATAACAAATGTATCATGATCTCACTGAAGGTGTGATCACATCATAAACTCTCCAAAGCAGGACTTTGACTGTGAGTTTAGCTCTAAATGAAACCGGCTCTGTTAAGAAAACAAGGCTTGGGTCAAACAAAGCTGACTTTATTTGGAATAAAAGGTATAATTTAGACAGAACCCGGGTCAAATGTTGGTTCACACACAAAACAACTGTCAGCTCAAAGTTTTTGTGTTTTTCTTTTTAAAAAAGCTAAAAAATAATAGAATTTCTTACCTCTTTCTGCTGTATTCGTAGTGTTTTTCAGGTGGATTATAATCCGCTGGTAATCAGACACTATCTGTTGTTGTGTCCTAAGCAGACACGTTGTTATGTGCTCCAGAACCAGTGACTAATCCTTGCCTCGGCCCGCCCCGCTCCCTTCACTAGCCCAGGAGCATGTCCCTTTTCCACGTAGCTCTGAAGAGTGTGATTGTGTCTCCAAATGGGCGTCACTTCTGGCTTAACAGTTCTTTTCCACCTTTTATATTTTACATGATAGTGTGTGTGTGTGTGTGTGTGTGTGTGTGTGTGTGTGTGTGTGTGTGTGTGTGTGTGTGTGTGTGTGTGTGTGTGTGTGTGTGTGTGTGTGTGTGTGTGTGTGTGTGTGTGTGTGTGTGTGTGTGTGTGTGCGTGTGTGTATAAAGGGACAAATGTAGGCTTAAAAAGGACATTTAATATGGATAACCTCTCCCTTCCTATTTAAAACTCTAATTCTGACTTACAGCCATTGTTGGTTTAAATCAGAAACTAGTGGGGAAAAGAGATTTGCGTGCGTTTAAACATAAATTAACATGGAAAAGTTTGTTTTTCTTATGAAAAAATAAACCAGTCCTTCCTTTTTCCTCACAAACATCACATTAAATATCCCACAATTTTGTTTTGTTTGCATGTCAGTGATCACAAACACAAACCTGCTTAGAATGATGGATTCATTCAAATATGGAAAGTATGCTAACGGATAAAAGGACTGTCTTACCACAGCTGTTTTTTAAATTGTGGGATGATGACTTTAGGTTTTCCTTAACAAAAATAAATGTTTGTTTGTCTTCACTGAGTTGACACGGCGTGTACGGGCACGACGTTTACCTCGTTTCACGGATCGTGTGACTTACATAAGGGTTCAGGGGAAATCTAACCTGCCCTGCAGCCAAACAGGCTTTCCCAGATGTGGTTTATGGGTGGAGATGTGGGCATCATTTAGAAAACGGCGCTGGCATAACTGACTAATGTTAGAATTTTTTCACAGTCGGGCTAAAACCTAAACAGCTGTCAAAATAAATTGGTTGAACGCATTCATGAGCGCACGCTGTGAAAGTTCATCAAGCATTGATGTGTGTCTCTGTCTGGTGTCCATATGTCCCGTCCTCGGGGGACGGGGCCTTCCAGCTGGTCAGAAACTCAAACAGGAAGTATTGGTCACCCTGTGTGTACGTTTGGGCCTCATGGGTTTGTTTAAAAGTCGTCTAAACCAAGAAAAGTCCAAAGTAACTAGAATTGTCTTTTTTCTGGTTAAGTGGATCTGACGTGCAAAACAAAACTGGATTTAGGAAAACGTTACTATGTGATACAGGAAACAAAACAGAAAACAATGAAAGGAGGAATAGAAACAAAAATAACGCAGTATCAACAATCTGTAACCATGCAGGGCACCAAGAAAACAGTTACACTTAAAAATATTCAATATTTCTTGTATTCTTCAAAAATTTTTCATTTTCTGCCTTTTTTAAACTTTCTTATTGAAGATGTCAGCTGCCCGTCATGATCGATGGAATCCTCATGTGTAATATTGCACCCTGGTGGCTGATTTGCACTGCTCAATTCAATTCAATTCAAACTTTATTTCAGACAAGGGATATGTCCATAACAAGAATAAAATAAAAATAAAAAAACACATTCTAATTACAAACCATATAGGCAGTTGTTCCAATGTTTAAAAAGGACTGAGGAGTACCTCGTGTCACTGTAAGTTAAAGAAGACAGCGCTCTAACAACAGCATTAGCTGACAAACTCAGTCGGCAGATGAATTTATACATGAAGAGCCTCAGAAGCGCATGAAAAGTAGGGATGTTACTCGTAACAAACATGTGACTTGCCGAAGTCCAGCTAGGGAGCTTCATGAGGATTCTAAAAGCATCCTGATAAGCCACTTGAAGCTTCTTCATTACTACCTTACTATAGCTGCACCACAAGTGGGCTGTATAGAGAGGAATACAAAAGGAACGAAAGAGGGACACTTTAACAGGATCTGAGCACATGCCAAAGTTACGTGCCAGAGTGTTAGCCTGCATGTACAACTTACCGCATTGCCTCTTAATATCCTCGTCATCACAGAGGTCACTTCTTAAAATGTGCCCCAAATATTTTACTTTGCTTACCACTTCGAGGACCTGATTTGTTAAGTTAAAAGATGGAAAATTAAGCTTCAGGTCCCCTTTAGTAGCAGCAGTCATTGTTGTTTAGCATATTTTAATTTTTAATTTTTATTTTGATTATTATTTTTTAATTTTTGCATCAAATAAAACAAATTTCACTCATCTCAAACATGTTCTGCTTCTAATAAGTACAAAAATAATAACCAGACTCAGGAAATTAAACAACTCAACCTGCTGCTTGTTCTTTTGTGACGGCGTTCATCTGTCACCAGCTGTGATGCATCCAAGTCTAGCACATCCCAGGCAAACTGTTTCTGAGCATTTTCAGGACCAACAGTTGTATTCAGAACTCTTTTTACTCTTTCCTCAGGTGCAGGAAAACATTCGTGCAAGGTGGCCATGGTGATGTCCAGGAGCAGCTCTAAGGATGCAGGGGGCAGGTATGAATTTAGCATAAGAGCAGAGGCGGAGCTGGCCTAAATGGCGCCCTGTGCGAGATCCCCCTGTGACACCCCCCCCCCCCCCCCCCCCCCCCCCCACACACACACACACACACAAAACATTACACCTACAACTTTGTTTCAAATTGCGTGGAGTGTATGTATAACAACGTTTGCTAACTGAATACAACATCCAGCTCCTGGCCACCTTCTCACCACTTGTCAAAGTTCTACCGAAATAGTGATGATGACAACATCTGCCATCACCTTCATTCCTGGGAAATATGAAAGTAGTTGGCACCTTAGTAGGTCCTCTTCGAACTAGCTCTGTGCGTATGCTGTCGGTAATTGGTGATGATCACTTGGCTGGGTCTGAAGAAAGCTCATTTCCCGATTCCAAAAAGAAAGAATGGTCCGACCAGCTCGCCACTTCAATATGAAGAAGATCAGTTCAACATGGGGAAAAAACCTGACCTGTAGGCCAGAGAAACGTTCATTAGCACATCAAGTTCGATTCAGTTTACCGGTAAACATATCAGGAATGTACAACAGGTCAATTATTAATCATCTTGGCTACGTAGCTCAATCTATACATTCCAGTAGCGTTTGCTACAAACAAATACAAAAACAACAATAAAGGAAAACAACTGTCTGAAAGACAGCATAGCCGAATTCAAGGCAACACATAACAATAATCATTCGATTGCTCTTGGTTTCAAGTTAAGCCCATTAAAGTGCTTAAGTAAATAAAAGTGTTTCAAAAACAGCGTTTTTGAACCGGAGTTCTGCTCACGGTGGGAACTCCGCCGAACAAGGTCATTTTTTTATAGCGAAAACGATCGACTGGTCACTGACAAGTAAAAGGGTGTTATTGGTAGATGTTAAGAACACTTACCGCTGAGGTAAAATGAGAGTATAAATGAATTGAGGGGAGAAAAACGCTTTGTTTTCCAACGCCGTTCTACAAGCAACAAGCTTACAGCCACAGCAGGAGTCGAGCCCGGAAGTATTCCCCCACAGCCAGCTTTCATGGTTGCCGCAACGTGGAAGGAGCCAATCAGGAGAGGGACCTCACATCAGCTGACGTGGGTCATGTGACAGGGAGTAGTTGATATGGGTTACACTTTGTTGTGCTTTTATTACAGAAATATTATTATTATCATCACTATTATTATTAAGAGCATGCGATTTCTATGTTTTGTTTATGTATTGGTTGATGCTAAAAAAATGTTTTTTTTAGGGAAAAAAAATTTAAATGCCGCCCCCTGCAGACTGCCGCCCTGTTCGACTGCACATGTTGCACATATCAAGCTCTGCCCCTGGATGCATGCCAGTATGCTGGTCACTGTGATACTTTTTAAAAAACATTTTATTAACACCTTTCAAATAAATAAAACAAACAAACAATTATTTGACAAAATGTTCATTCATTGCTGTCCACATGAAAGCTTTGTCTAAAACAATAGGAGCATCAATTAATCACCCTAAAATGAACATTTGAAAATACATATTGTCAGAAAAGGCACTTGAGCCTTTGCTCCTGGAGCAACGGATTGTGGGTAACACCCTCCGCCGAAGTCCACATCAATGCGGACTTGGGTGAAGTGTACATCAAGAGTGCAAAAGCGACGCCAGGGGTCTCCAACCTTTCTTGACCTGTGAGCTATTTTTCCACAAGTACAGAAGAGCTACTACCATATGATTCATTCACTTTAATACTTTCTGTGTGTGAATATGCTTACTATGTAGAAAAATGCTATACTTACTATTTTAACATGCATTGTATTTACAATTGCAAAGAAAATAGTGACAATCTGAAAATCAAACAAAATTAAACTTTTGTTTATTAACTAATTAGATACTTTCAGATAATGAACAGCAAATCTACTTCGTGTGAATGATGTGACGTTTTCTTTGGAATGGATCAGTTGAGGAAATTTTCCAGGAGCAACTCGGACCGCTGCAGCTCAGCCCGACCACTGTTCCCGAGGGCACGGTTCGGTATTTTCCCACTACTTTATCCCCTATTTGTATGGCGCGTTCCAGTTGTCCTCAGAACTTGATTTTCTGATAAGTTAGCCGGAGAAGATGCAATGAGATGAATCTCGAGCTGCCAGTTCGTAGGTTTCAGAGGACCCCCTGAGATCCCAAATTTAAAGATGGCTGCACCCAGTGCTACCATGAAGTAGTTATGGTCTTTTTTTTTTTTTCTCATTTATACGGTCTGTTTGCTTTCTTTTTGCTATTTAACAGCACAGAGTTGTTGTTTATTGTTGTTATCAATAGTTACGTTGTTGGAAAATTCAAGGAAAATATCATTGAGGTGGTCCATACATACAAATACCTTGGTGTCTGGTTTGATG